GGGTGGGGCTCCAGCCAGACGCCGAAAGACGGGAATGTTCGCCCGGCGGCGCCTGTGGCGGAGGGTGAGGGTGGGGGTGGGGGTGGGGAAGGCTTCTCTGCTGCCCTCGTGCCTTTGAAATCCTGCAAATCTCAAACACAGTTCTTCCCCTTTGCTTCGTATCGGACTCCAAAATAGCAGGTTGGAAATCAGGAGCTTTTGTGAGCGCTCCTCCCACGGTGTTCGTTGCCTCTGAGATGGGCGGTGAAGGTGTTTTGAGCTTTGTTTACCAATCAAGAAACAGGTGGAGAGAAGGATGCTTGCTCTTGGGGGTAGAAGGCTCCCGTGTGACCCAGCTCGGTCTTTCAGCAGTTCAGAAATAGGTGACGCTTTGAATGTATGTGAACCGATTCTTGGATTATTAGGAGAAAGAAAAATGCTGAAGATATATTTGTTTAAGAATTATTTTATTTGGGGAACCAGCAGTTACCGTAATGGCTATGTCGCTGGACTCCCACGTAGTCGACCGCGGTTCGCGTCCCGGACCCGGTGGCTTAAAACTCACGCCGGGCGCGTGTGCGTGCGTGCCTAAGATCCCGAGAAGAGAATGGAGGAGAAGGGATTGTGGCGTGACCATCCCCCCTGGGGGGTGATTTCTCGCTTTCTGTCTCTCTGTCTCTCTCTGTCTGGCGAGCGCATGCGCCTTATAGCGAAAACCTCTCCCCCCAAAAATTATTATTTAATTTTATTCATTATTAAAAATAATTAACCAGAATGAGACAGAGACAGACAGAGAGAGAGAGAGAGAGACAGAGAGAGAGAGAAAGAGAGAGAGAGAGGGAAAGTGAGAAAGTAAACTGCCAGGTCTGGGACTTGAACCCTGGTCAGCCATGTGGGAGTCCAGCACCTTAGCCACCACGCCTGCTGATCCCCCTGAGATCTTTAATCCATAACTAGAAGTGACAGGACTTTGTTGAATTAGCTCCACGGTGACTTTAGGGGAAAAAAAAAAAACACCTTTCAATGGGGGTTTGTACTAAGTACAATATATTAAGGTTTTTACAAATCGTACCTTTTGGTGTAAAGGGAGTACCTGTCTATATTTTGTTTCTTATTTTCTATTTAGGATATAGAATTCAGATGGGTAAGCCAAGCATTAGAATGTAAAGTGTTAGTCCTGGAAAATAAAGCCTTACAGAATGCTAGGAGTTGCTTCCTTTTTTTTTTTTTTTCCTTTAGGGCATGCACTTGCCAGAAAGAGAGACAGAGAGACAGACAGAAAGCGAGAAATCAAAAGCGAGAAATCACACCCCCCCCGGGGGGGGGTGGCCACACCGCAATCCCTTCTCCTCCATTCTCCTCTCAGGATCTTGGGCACGCACGCACATGCTCCTGGTGTGAGTTTAAGCCACTGGGTCTGGGACGCGAACCGTGGTCAACTACATGGGAGTCCAGCGACATAGCCATTACGTTAACTGCTGGTCCCAGGAGTTGCTTCTCATATAGCATGGAGAATAAAGCCTTACAGAATGCTAAGAGTTGCTTCTCATAGCAGGCTTCAGTGTCCTACTCCGACATTTTATTTTATTATTTTTTAAAATTTTTGCTATAGAGTGTCTTGCTCACTAGAGAGAGAGAATGAAAGTGAGAAATCTTCCCCCCGGGTGGGGGGATGACCATGCCACAATCCCTTCTCGACCATTCTCCTTGGGATTTTGGGCACACACACATGCTGCTGGGTTCAGGACTTGAACCGCGGAGTGGGCCACGTGGGTTCCAGCCTCTTTAACCTCTTCGCCATCTGTTGGCTCTCATTCATGTTGTTAAGATTTACAGTTTTATTCCTTGCAGTTGGGCATAGCCATAGCGTAAATGAATGAAGCCTCAGGGTGGTCACTGGGGCTTCTGGACACACCCTTGTGACATGATGCTTCCTATCTTAGCCATATTGGAATATGAGAACTCATAGGAACTTTCGTCAGTAGCATCAGAACTTCAGTGTTTCCTAGGGACCAGCAGTTAGTGTAATGGCTATGTGGTTGAATTCCCATGTAGCCGACAGCAGTTCGAGTCCCTGTGGCTTAAACTCATGCCGGGCATGTGTGCATGCGTGCGTGCCCAAGGTCCCAAGAGGAGAATGAAGAAGTGGTGATTTCTCGCTTTCTTTTCTTTTTTTTTTTGGAGAGGTTTTCGCTGTAGGGCCCTTCTCCTCCATTCTCCTCTCGGGATCCTGAGCACGCACGCACATGCGCCCGGTGTGAGTTTTAAACCACCGGGTCCAGGATGCAAACCGCGGTCGACTACGTGGGAGTCCAGCGACATAGCCATTACGCTAACTGCTGGTTCCCAGTTTCTCGCTTTCTGTCTCTCTGTATCTCTCTGTCTTTCTGGCGAGCGTACACGCCCTATATCAAAAAATCTCTCTTAGATCAATTGTTCCCCCCCTTTTTTTTTTTTTTTTTTGCTAAGCACAAGAACATATTAACTTTTAATTTGACTTACATTAAAGGTGGTATCAACCAGAGTGTATTCAAATTTAAATCACATGTTATAAGCATTGATTTGAGTTTCAGTAGCATGAATGAGAATTTAGATACTTTATTATTTTTGGATTAACTTTAAGACGTAGAGCAACATGAGTCAGAGTTCATTTTTAAAAACCCGAAGGCATAAGACATTTATTAGAGAACAGAAATAAACTACTTTTTAGCTGCTACCACTTGCGTAAACTTGAATTTGGAACCTCAGCACCCCTCACTAATCAGTCATCTGAAGAAAGGGCTGAACGTAAGCAAATCCTCTTGGAGAGCGAGGGTAGAAATCTAGCGGAACATACACATCCACTCTAGGACCATAACGACCAAATTTGTGCCATGAATCTTTTTTTGGGGGGGGGTTTGCTATAGGGCGCGTGCGCTCGCCAGACAGACAGAGAGAGACAGAAAGCGAGAAATCACCCCCCAGGGGGGATGGCCACGCCGCAATCCCTTCTCCTCAATTCTCCTCTCGGGATCTTGGGCATGCATGCACACGCGCCCGGCGTGAGTTTTAAGCCACCGGGTCCAGGACGTGAACCACAGTCGACTATGTGGGAGTCCAGCGACATAGCTATTACGCTAACTGCTGGTTCCCACGTGCTGTAAATCTTCAGACCTGGTGTCGTTTGGCCACGTTTCTCATGAACAGAGATGTGGGGGGGGGATGCAGGTAGTGGGAAATGGCAGTGGGGTGTCAGCCAGGGGTTCTAACGTGCTTGGCAAACCATCCGCGATTCCAGTGGAGGCTCCCCAGTGTTTCTTTTTTTAAAAATTATTTTATTTAACTTTATTTATTTTCATTTGTCCAGAGAGGGATAGGGAGAGACAGAGAGAGAGAGAGAAAGTGAGAAAACAAGCCACCAGGTCCAGGGCTGGAACGATGGTCGACCATGTGGGATCCAGTGTCCTCAACCACCATGCCACCTGCCAACCCCCTCCCCCCCCTTGTTTTTTTTAAAGCTTTGGCTAAAAGGCACTTGCCCTCGCCAGAGAGAATCAGAGAAGGTGAGAAATCACCCCCCAGGGTGAATGGCCCTGCTGCAGTTCCTTCTTGTCTCTGCTCCTCTGGGATTCTGGGCATGCGCACACCAGTGCCGGGTGTGATTTTTAAGCTGCCAAGTCTTGGATTCCAACCTTGGACATCCATGTGGTAGTCCAGCACCTTAACCACCGTGCCACCTGCTGGCCTCTTGCATTTCTTTTTTAAAGCCAGAAGGGCAGGATGCAATACACTTTTCAAATTGTTACATAAATGCTTCTGTTCTGAGAGCTGTACTGGGGAAATGGAGCCAGGACACGCCCATCAGCCACAGCCTGGAAGGCCCTCATTGGTTGGTAGGCACCTGCGCAGCCGCTCGGTACAAAAGACCATCCGGGAGTTTCCGTGTGTGATGCTAGGTACGTGTGTGATACTAGGTATGTGTGTGATACTAGGTATGTTGCTGGAAGAAACCTTTACCCGATCTAATGGGTGGAAAAAATAAACAAGTTTGAACTTGACTCTGAATGAGTGGGATTTTATTGTATTTTGTAGTAAGTAAAAGAGAAGAGAGGTATTTCTTTTTTTTAAGAGAGATTTTTGCTATAGGGTATGTGTCCTTGCCAGAGAGACAGAGAGAGATGGAGAGACAGAAAGCATGAAATCACCTGCCAGGGAGGATGGCCACGCTGCAATCCCTTCTTCTCCATTCTCCCCTCTGGATTTTGGGCACGCATGCACAGCGCCTGGCGTGAGTTTCAAATTGCCGGGTCTAGGACTCAAACCGTGGTCAACTGAATGGGAGTCTGTTGCCGCCATCTGCTGGTCCCAGTATATATATATTTTTAAGTTAATTTTTTCCTTCAGAGAGAGAGAGACAGATTGGCACCACAAGAGGTTCTTCCTGCCTCGTTCACCTCCAGGCTCAGCCAGCCGGGATCGTGGGTATGTGCTCTAACACCCAAGTACTCAGGGAGGTCGTGGGACATGAACCCAGGACCTCTCCCAGGTGGGTCCAGTTGTGTTATCCCTGCACCACCACCTGGCCTGAGGTCAGTATTTTTGACAGGTTCTTCCTATGTCGAGACCTCCTGCCCCACTCACTCAGGTGTGCACCACCACACCTGGCCTGTCTAGGCTGGACTCATAACCACCCCGGGGCTTCCCATCTGGCCTCAGCCACCGCTTATGCCACCATGGCTGGGCCTGAGTGATTCTTTTGAGAATAAATCTTTTGGGGACCAACAAATGGGGTAATGGTTACATTACTGGACTCCCATAAAATTGATCTCCCAGACCCTGTGGCTTAAACTCGTACCAGACACATGTGCGTGCGTGCCCAAGATCCCGAGAGGAGAGTGGAGGAGAAGGGATTGCGGCGTGGCCATCCCCCCGGGGGGGTGAATTCTCACTTTCAGTCGTCTCTGTCTCTCTGGTGAGCGCATGTGCCCTATAGCAAAAATCTCTCTTTAAAAAAAAAAGGAAATAAACGGAAAGAAAGCCTTTGTTAGGTGGAACAAATTGCGGGGCAGCATGTATCCAGATGGAAAAGCCTTGGGAGGCCTGGCTC